TCCAGCATTTTGAACTCACAGTCGATTTAATTGTACGAGATTTCGAAAACAGATGTGTACTATATTAATACTTTCAGAAAAAAGGTCCAGGGAATTATATTTCGTCGCAAAGAAACTGGATTACCTGACCTATCATGCAGTAAGCAATAATGCAGCCATTTAGCACAAGCTACAAACTAACTAGTCTGATACAGTTTGGAACATAATTGTGTCTTTAGTTTACGTGCTAACTTTATAAACAGTTCAGTGCATTTCAGTATGAAATAATTTTTTTATATACTTTAAGGCTCATCTGTGACAGTGCAAAATTTCAGCTCTAAATATGTATACACAAGAGTATGAAGAAACCCTGAAACGCAACAATAGGTGATAGACACATCTGCTTTGTTTTAAAGTGTCTATAATAACGTCTGTTTTTCGAATATCGTAGCGAATCTGTTCAATTACTCACAAATAATAAATGTTTTAACTTCTTTAGAATAAAAAAACGTAACTCTTCGTTTTTCGCATAAAAATAACAATTATATTTCGAAATGGCTTGTGAATCATGCTGTCAAGGTAAACTCGTTTATTTTGCTATTAAATGCACTTTGAACGAAACCCGTATATTGCTCAATAAACTAGTAGTGATGGCCGGAAGACAGGTGTTTTGGGACAACCAATTAGAAATTCTCAAAAACTACTTGACCAGTCGTTTCCCATTTTGTTGAGGTTATTAGAAGTAACAAGCCATACGGATTTGAAGAATTTCAGAACCTGCATTTTCTCTCGGTTTTCAGCCATAACCTTTTTATTATTAGTGCGATCTTTCTACATGTGGTCTCATTCTGTAGGGCTCGTAAATACCAAAAAAAATTAATCAACGGGTTTTTTCGTCCCACTTTCGATTGAATGCCAAAACACACGTTTTCTCATTCCATGTTTGTCGAAAGTTTTTCCACAAACATTGGTGTACCCATTTTATGCGTCCATGATTTAAGTACCTAGCCCATTGAACAACTTGCATCAATAAAACCAGTCTTAACAATTATTTCGCAACCAGGGGTATTTGCACCTAATATTAGACTAACAATAAAGTTGTGCTCTAACTCCTCGTTCACATGTCTTTGTTACCTTCTACGCATTCGCATAGTCGTCCTTTTAAAATCAATGATTCATACAGATGAAAAATTATAACGTGTAACTATTCCACTGACATCGTAGTCATGCCAGCTCAAATCGCAAATGCAAATAGAAGTAGCGGTTCATCACACCCTGAAATTCTGTGGTGTTTTCTTTTTCACTCGGTTGAAAAAGTAAATATACTCAATACTCAGTAACAAGTAGAATGAAGCAGCTAATAAAAATGATTTTGCTTATATGGAGATTTATATAAAATTAGACATAAACAAATAGAAGTCTACAAGGAAGTCATTGCCAAATGTTGAAGCTAAAGCATTTACGATATCGCTAGATTTCGCTTCTAATTTGTTGAGCCTTTGATGCCGTAAATGTTCGTCCAGTCGTCAAGGTATGCTAGCTGTACTTGAATCCGGAGAACGGCAAACACTCTTATTTCTTTTATATCCCACGCAAGTTCGATTGGAGAGTCGAAGAAGGTAAGAAGGCCGTTGTTAAGGTAGTCTATTGCAGCTCCAGCAGTATATAGATGGTCATTATCCATTTGGAAAGAAGGGTTATCAAGCGATTGAAGAAGGTTTTTAATTGAACGTCACGTGCACCATATTGTGACAGTTATGACTTAAGGCGGCATTAAGTATGGTGTTGTCACTCCTACGTAGTTTCTCCTAGAGGAGATATCAGGCCACAGCGGCTTGTCCATTAATGATTTGTTCGTACAGCCTGTTAGCTGACAGTCAGCAAACTGATAGTGGGCGACGAGTCATGACCTATTTTATTCAGTTAGCTGTCACTGACACGTCACTGACTGTATAGATTGCGTACATGAGAACGTTGCGAGTTGGCTGAGGGAACTTGGACCGATTACTGATCCACTCAAGTCAAGTCATCGTTGGTTGTCAGAGCGGTCCGTGGGACCTTTGCTCTTGAGTCACAGTGTCAGTTTGTAAGTCTGTCAGGTCTGGTAACCCAGAAACCAGACAATTTTAAGGAAAAAAGGGGAAGGAAAGGAGAGAAGGAAGAACGAGAGCAAAGCGGAAGAAGAGAATCTTTTAGGATAGGCATCGTTTAGGCATTGTTAAAATCACTTCACAGATCTTGGTATGGTCTAAAAATATTTGATTTTTTTTCTAAGATTGTGTAAAAATGCTCAAATTTTGGTTGTTCTAAGTTCACGAGTTAATTTTGATTACAGTGCGAGCCGCGGCCTTTTGTGCTTGCGAACTTGCTCGACTGTGTAGTCCACTGACTCACGCAACAGAGGGTTGCTGTGCGATTCCGCTAGGCTATAGCGCCGCTGCGCCTGTTGCTTAATGTAGTCCTTTAGGTAAGGGACATCGAGGTCTCTATGTAGAGTTTCGATAGAGACATACCATGGGGCATCAGCAATAGTGCGCAACGTCCTGCTTTGCAGAACCTACAAATTTCGCATGTGTGTTTTAGCGATAAAACACCAAGCCGCACATGCGTAAGTCATTGCTGGTCTTATGACCACCTTATAGAGTCGAATCCTGTTAATCAAACTTAATTTTTACCGTTTACATAATAATGGGTAAAGCTGCCGAAACGTAATTTGGAATTTAGTTTTAGCGCTTCCATATGGTTCCGCCAAGTCATCCCTTTGTCCAGAATGACACCGAGATACTTAGCGGAGGATTCCCATGGTATACGAAGTCCATTCACTGAAACTTCAGACGGAACGCCGCGACGTCTTTTTGTACAGTAGATTGCCTGCGTTTTCGAATGGTTTATTTTAATTAGCCACCGATCCGCCCAATCTAATACTTCCTCCACCGCACTTTGCAGCCTGTCATGGACTAGGTCACCAGACCACGACTGAGCCACCAATGCAGTATCGTCAGCATAGAGATACACTTCACAGTTGCTGGGACTAGGGACGTCATGGATGTACAGTGAGTAAAGGATAGGTCCAAGGACCGAACCCTGAGGGACGCCGGCTGTAATCAGCCGTGTTGTTGACAGGACGTTGTCAATTTTGATCCGAAATTTCCTACCTTCAAGGAAGGATTTCAGTAGTTTTAGAAGCCAAAAAGGGAAGCCCTTTTGGATTAGTTTATACAAGAGGCCCGCGTGCCACACCTTGTCAAATGCTTTTGAGACATCCAAAAGCAAGATGCCAGTACTTTCGTTAAGGGTGAATCCTCTGGTTACACGTTCCACCAGCCTAACCGCCTGTAGTTCCGTACTATGTTCAGACCGAAAACCGAATTGCACGTCAGGAATCACATGGTGATCTGACGAGAAATTCTCAAGGTGACGTAGAATCACCTTTTCAGCGAGCTTAGACACAGCTGACAGCAGGCTAATGGGACGATAATCCTGGGGAAATATCGATCCCACCTTCTTTGGAATCATTATAACTTCAGCGGTCTTCCACGTGGATGGGAAGTACTGGATCCTTAGCATGGCATTGACTATTGCCACGAGATAAGTTAAGGACTTCCGCGAAACCAGCTTCAGTGCCTTATTAGTGAGTTGATCCTCCCCAGGTGCTTTACGCACTTTAAGGTCTTTAATATGACCTTGAATCTCTGCTGGTGTGCAATGCGGGATCTCAGGCGATACCGCTGATGTGCTAAGCAAATCTTCGGTTGAAGGAGCTTCTGAAGAAGAATCTTCTGATGAAGAAAAATCACCAACGAATGCGCGACTGTCACTGACGCCGTTGGCCCTAAAATATCTCCTGACAGATCTTACGATGTGTTGCTCCTCGTCGAGGTCATTATCAAGATCATAGATGGGAGAGAACTGTCTTTCCATGGCATCGGCGAAAACCTCAACCTTCTCCTCTGTCCTGAAGACAATGCCTCCAGGACCGTAAATGTGTGGGATTTGTTCACGCTTTCCGTTTTTGAGCGACTTCGCCACCTTCCAGAGAGGAATGCTTGAGTCAAGCATCCCCGCCAGAAAGTCGTTCCATTGCTCATTGCGGAATTCATGAAGAGCATTTCTTACTTCGTGAACAAGATTCGTCGCTCTGCGAATGTCATCAGGATGACAAGACCTTTTCGCTTGCTTAATTGCAGCTCTTTTATCAGAAATTTTCTGACGAATGTCTGCTGGCAGAAAAGGTCTGCCGTGTCGCTGCACGGGAAGTACAGCTGCACGCTGCAGAGTTTGCTGAACAAAACTTGTCCACTCTGCTTGAGCCGCATTTATACCGTTCTCATCATCTATGATCGGTATATTGGGGAACTCTTTGAGGAGCGACTTGTATAGCTCCCAATCAATGCGTTTCCTTGGAGGGATTTCATCCCCCAAGATCTGCTCATTAGCCACTTCCAAAAGGACGGGAAGATGATCGCTTGAGATGTCATACATGATTCGAGAAGTGATACTGTAGCTACAGTTCTTGGATAATGCCAAATCAAGAACATCAGGTGCCTGAAGGTGATTAAATGGGTGGTGCGTCGGCTCCTCAGTACTATGTATGAGGTAGCCATTTCGTATCACATGGTTGTACAGTCGGATCCCACTGGTGGAATTCAACCTAGAATGCCATGCTCGATGTTTGCAGTTGAAGTCCCCTGCCACAATAAGTGGACCCGAGCAGTCTAAAAGGACTTCCAGATCCTACTGATCCACTGTTCGTACAGAAACTTCTGACTGTTTGATGACTGTCCAATTAGTCAGCAGGAGGTTATTTTCCAGTAAATTGTCAGAGCCCGAAATCAAGTATAATCATTATCCGAAGGTAAGACCTTTTCAGCATGAGGTAGAGAATTTTGGAAAGGTTCGGGTATTTTGATTTTTTGTAAACCAGATTGATCTAGGATTTATCGTCCAAATCCCCGGAAAAATAACAGCACCAAAAAATGTTAAGTAGATTTACACAGTAATTTCCATTTAAGTCGCATTTAAAAAGTATGGACATAAATTCGGACGAATGTGATTCCACACATCGAATGACAAGTTGAAGAAGCAAAAAGTAAGAATTCTAAATAAACGACTGCGATGATTATGCATGAAAAATGTATTTCAAATATGTTTTTATAAAACTAGAATAGTAGGGCTTTTGTTCCCTAACAGTTGTCTCCCAGCCTTGAAGCATATGCACAAACAGTATGATTATTCTAGCTCCAGTCCAATTCAAAGCTGATCGAAAAAAAACCGAAATGACTAATTTTGAAGATTTTGTGGTACAGCTATTTTCGGGCTGTCAAACTTGAGCATTTTCGTATATTGTACTAAATACAAAGATATCTTCTCTAACTATCCGCCTATTTAACAATGATGCTGGCTGGGGTGAAAATAATATTTTCCCTATATGTGCAGACTCTCACTGAAAAACATAAGTAAAAATACTACAAGTATTTAATAACTCAGGGTGAATATAGACTGAAACGCTAAACTGGTTGAGCATAATTACAATTACCAAGATCTGCTTAAATACCTATAAGCTTTACAGATTTCCCAACATGGACAAAAAGAAATGACTACAAAGTACAAAAGGTCATAAGGGAAACATTATTATTGATATATGATAACGGATCGACCTCTGGTTTTTCAATTTTTATATGGGCTCCATCAATGCTGCCAACGACTCCAGGAAATCTACTTTTTATTATAGAAATACTGCTTTGTCCTATATCTTTCTTCTTCTGTTAGCCATTTTATGATTTCTGGTGCCAGACTCCTCAAGAAGTTGGTCAATCTGGATATATCTGCATGCAGGGTACTCATGGAAACATTGAACCTGTCAGCTACATCCCTGAAGATGTTTTATATTCAGCAGACCCTAAAAGTATACAGGTTTTTTCATAAGGAGTTAGTTTTCGATATGGCGCTGCCTCATACTTAAATTTGTTACTACCACGGAATTTCACTGAAATTTTTTCTGCGACTGCGAAATGTTACAAAAACTCGTTGCTGTTGAACTGTGGCACTATTTCCTCCACAAAATTCAGGTTTTGGCGTTTCATTCTCTCTTCCGAAGAAAATTCGGTCTTTCCCGCGTGTTCGCTGCTTATGATGTTTTGCTGGGCTTTTAGGGTGCCGTTTCCACCTAAAAATTTGATGAACTTACCTTAGATGTATACTAGATATGCTTCAAGACCATATCTCTTGCATTAACAAAGTTAATCTCTAAGTATGCGCTTGCAGAAATTTAGGCCGTCATTTTCCAAATTAAGTGATTTAGAAGAATCGGCATTTCGATTAAGCATGGCGTCAGTAATGAAGTTTCGGATACTCATTTTGTGCTGTCATTGAGATTAGTCTCTTTAAGGTATTATTCTATGCGCAGCTTACTCTCCGCCACAGACCGTCGAACGTGGAGGTACCAGCCGGTGGATCTCTGAGACGTGCCCAGAATGTCTGCATATGCATATGTGTCCCTCGCTAGACGCCTCCCTTCTCCTGTATCTCCCTATAGCTCCACGGTACCTACGGTATTCAGGCAATACGAGTTTGTGGTGGTTGAAGCATAAAACACATTTTGTGCCTGGATCGTCACTTGTATCTACGAGTACGGAGAATTCGAGTAACTTTTCAACACATTTGCAGTAGAAACAAAGTTTATTGGATACGAAGAGTTTAGTTAGAAGTCGTTCGCATGCAGTTTCTATTTCAGTCAGCCAATCGTTGTTAGTACAAGCTGCACAAGCTATCAGAAACGCATAATTTTTGACCGCCTGCTTAGAAGCCTTCGATTGACTTTGAGCGGCGGTTTGAAACAGACACGTAGAATACATTTGTTCTGCTAGCCTGTATTCATTGATAAAAGGACGACTAAGCTAGACCTTAACCTCAAGACTTAAAAATTGATACGGAATCCCAGCGCTTCCCTACCATGCTTATATCTGAGGCCCTCGCAACTGGTGTCAGAAGATGAGCAAAGCTGGCATTTGCATTGGTCGGCTTCTAGGTACTCGTACAGTTCGGTGCCCTCCTTAACACCCTCCTCGCAGTGTTTCAGCTTATACAGTACTCTGGTGCGGCCGTGGTGGACGCACACAGGATGGTTGGACCGCTTGAAGGGGAAACGCCAGTCGGATATCTGAAACAAATGCCTTCGTTATCAAGCTGCAAACTGATAGTCGGGCAGAGGCGTTGCTTTTGTTTTATACTTCAGTAATAGTTTGCCAAAAATACAGAATATAAATAATAATAGTAATAGCGTTACTAGGGAGTCAAGCCAGATTCTTCCTACGTTTGTCCCTCAGCCCGCCAGGCAATTTAAGAGGCCAGCCATCGCCTATCTAGTAAAGTGGTGCTAGTTTTAGGTAAAGGAACTGTTTAGCGGTTAATGTTCTCTTTTGTTGCTGCCTGAACATCAAAATGCTGGCTTAATGTTGTGTGGAATACACATTTGCTTTCTGCAGCATATTTGCTCTTAAATGATGGTGTTTAAAACATTCTTATAGCATAGCTATACAACATCTTATAAGACAAATTTTGAACTGTTGCATAAACATTTATACAACTATTTTATATGGTGCGCTAGTCAAAATAGTTGTGTTGTGGCATCCATGCTAGCATTTATACAACAAACTCGAGCCTTGTTGTTTTAGTGTGCAAAATGGCTACCTTACCTAACAAATTGATCCCAACGGAAGCACTTATATAACTATCATTTACCAACCATTAAAGGCTGTACATCTGTAGCAATATCACAACTTTTATACAATTGCCATGATTACACATAACCGCTAGCCCTATATGGCGGTGGAGAAGCTTATTATATACCTTTGTATGGAATTCACAATGGCCGATATGTAAGTATACAAGATGACTGTAATGTGTTAGTTATATATTCTTCACTTCGTCCATACAATACATAAGAAATAGTTTGGTTGCATTAAAGTAGAATCATCTAATAGAATGGTTGTATAATTGATAAAAAATGAATCTTGCACTGACGAAAATGCTCTTTAGCAGCTGCAAGAGGCGTACACTTTTGTTGTATAACTGTTACTACAGCTCTTATATAACCTCTTAAATGACTGCAGTGTTCTATTAGATGTGCCCATTCCGCTTGTACAGCTGGTCTAAGAACGTTTTGTCAATGCTCTTGCAACATACAATGTTGTGTAAGGAATACTGTATAATCGTTCTTGCAACCCGAAATAGGAGTGATAATTGTTAGTTGGGTTTAGTCTAAAAAGTATCTTCGCATACGTTCGCGATATTATTATGATTCGTTTTTTGTACGATCTTATGCAAAAACGACATCTTTAAACAATTCTGATGTCATCCCAGAATTGCACAAAAAATGGTTAAATGATTTTTTAAGCAATTTCCCAAAATCGTTTTTTGTTTGTTACAGACAAGTATGGTTTTTATTAACTTTTTCCTCTAGAGTTCATAGTTTTCGAAATATAAGCGACTTGGTATTAAAAAGAGTGCGGATATTTCATTCTCAACTCCGAAAAACAATATGACATAACGAAAATTCCAGTGTTGCCAAAGTACCTAAATCCCATAGCATCCCAGAGCTTAGTGTTATCCTTAACCCTTGTTTCTCAATTGTTATAGATTTATTTCAATAAAATGTCCAATCCATGTTCAAAACATATACTTTTTTCTCGGAACGTCCACTGACATGACTTGAATAAGAATTAGTACCGACGCTGCTGCAACAGTAGTTCCGTGCATTTATAACCTACAAAATACTGATCTTGGCAAACGGTATTGTGTGCGGAGGTAGGCGAAAAATCTGACGATCTCGACCTACGAATAATTTGCAAAAGTTTATCTTCATCCTCATCCCATACGATGAAAGATAACGGAAGACCTATACGCTACCCGCTCATAACTGTTCGACGTTCTGCACATTGCGCAGATAGATGTTCCCCAACGCGACAAGCTACCACAAGCTTATCTGTCGTTTTTTGTATGGAGCAGGTACGTCACCATCGACCATCGTCCCGAAAACGCCAAACGTTCTCCGAGAATCCGAAAACCCGCCCAGAATATACCGGTTAACTGATCGTTCAATATTTGACTAATAATAATGCATATGCATTGACCATAGATGTGAAGTGCCAGAAATAGTACTTCGACATCAAAAGGGAATCTTGTATGTAATTGTCATTAATGGGATACAATACGTGACGAAGCAAAAAGTCTACGCATTTGGCGACTTTTTCCCAGGAGAAATATCAGCTTACGAGTGCCAGACAACACTAAAGCGACAAATAAACACACTTATATCGGAAAACGTCATTGGAATATTTTTTTACGAGGAAATTGTTCCAAAAATTAAAAAACTGTATCCAAGAACTCATGCTCAATTTGTGGCGATTCTCATCTACTCAGACCCTTATGGCGTTCACGAAATGTCTTGTTTTTCTTAGTATTTGCCACTTACTTCCATACGTATGTACGCAACAAGCAGGTTTTTACAAAGGTAATGTTGTCAGAAATCAGACAAGGAAAGAACGCCATGCTAGTCTTAATCTTAAAAAACTGTAATTAGATAGCCAATTTGAATAGTTTTGTCTTCGAGCATGTCAAAATATACTCAGTGATAATAACATAGAATACGTTTAAAAAGTGTATAAGCTTGGTACGTATGAGTATATGTTCGATATTCTCACAGCAAAGATGGAAATATTTTAAATGTCTCTCGATGACTTCTACAACACTTTTATACCCTGTCTTATTCCTAGAATAAGATAAACAAAGTTTTGTTTTCTTTATCAGTGGACCTGGGGTATTTCAAAAAAATTAAAGTTCCTTTTTTTTCAAACGCATATCCTATAATTTTTTCCATTTGACCCTAACAACTCAAAGAATAAATATTTTACAATCGGGGAACGATATCCTGTGCCGACTTTCGGTCAAACTTTGAATTTGGAAGTTAATAGGGAAACCATGTATAGATTTCAAAACCTAATTGTTTGTATCATATTTCTTAGATATATACTATCAGAAGGACATTGTTTACTAAATATTCTTTTCAAAGTCTTGTTTTTACAATCAGGGTATATGTAAGAAGTGTTTGAGCAACGAAGAGTTTATTACGAATTTGGATAATCTGTTTGATATTTCGCATGGCAATGCCTTTCAATTGATGAAAATACATTAAGATAGGATCTTCTTGCATCGTCAACCTAGTCATTTAGATGGGGTGGACAAGAAATTAGCCATAAAAGAAGAAAAGCCGCGTTTTAGGAACGCCGAAGAAAAAAAGCGGCGCGCTGAATATGTTGCTTCTTTAAGTACCTCAGCAACATCTTACGAACCAGTGCACTAAAATTCATCTCCCCATTACAAGATAGATTTACATGAAAGTTTGCCTATCCAAACTCAGAGCACACAGCCTGATACTAATCAAACTCAAATGACAGAAAGTTTCATAACTCCAAAATTAGTGGCAGAATTAGATAGGTGTCAGTTAATTATAAAGAATACTATCTTTATTATTGGAGTAACCGTTGAGACACTTGCACATAACACTGACGAATTTCCTATAAGCAAGTCCTCAATTCAAAGAATTTGAATCGAAAAGTGAAAGGAGCGCTATAAAGCTTGATTTTCAAAGCGAAGTACCGGATGGGTATTGTAACTGTCCACTGGGATGGCAAATTGTTGCAAATGCACGCTAGTCTAAAGAATAACGTCTACCAAATATTATAATATATGAAAATAAACAGCCACTTATGGCTGTATCCAAATTGGATAACTCTTCACAATCAAATTGGACGAAAATACCACTGGTTTGCGAAATAATTGTAAAGTCTGGTTTTATTACTGTAAGCTGTTCAAGGGGGTATCCAAAACATGGATGTATAAAATGGGTACACCAAGTTTTGTGGAAAAACTTCTTATTCGACAACAAACAATGAGAAACGTGTTTTTTGGGATTCAGCCGAAAGTGTTGGCAGGAACGAAAAAACTCTTCATATAAGATTTTTAGCGATTTATGAGACCTACAAAATGAGACTACACGTATAAAGGTCCGACTAATTGCAAAAAAGTTATGGCAGAAAACCGAGGCAAACTGCAGGTTTTGGCACTTCTTGGTAATGCGACGATGGTTTCTCGCAGATATTTGAAATTCTTTAAATTCGTAGGAATACGTCTATGTCAACGCCAAACAAAGTGGCGTGCACGTCATCACGATAAAAATTCCCCGACCTAATGCCTAGGTTTCTATCACAAACAATTGCTCTATTGCAGTTTCATATTAATGTGATATATAAATTGTAAAATGGTCATTACTCTCTTATTATGGTTAATAGTCATATAAACATTGTTATTAAATATCACATAAGTTGCTTTCTGATAAATTTAGACGCATTATGCGAAATAAAATGTTTTGCAAACGCTCCAATCACTTATCGACATGTAAACGCACTAAACCGATTTCGCAGCGTTGACACATTGTCACCTTGAAACTTATTTAAACTGGGAACTGACATTTGTATTAATTTTGACACTGAATCAATTTGTGGCATTTCAAATCTTTATAAATCCTTTGGCCCCGCATACTGTAAATCAACAACTGTTTGTTTCAAAACAAAATTATTCATTTTACGAGTAGATAAAGGCAATTTTGGTATATAAAGATGCCCAAACAGTTAAATAGTCGGTGTAAGGAACTCGTGGCCTCGTTAATGCACTACTTTGAGCAAGAAAGGGACAACAACGGGCCTTTGTTGCCTTTAAATGCTGTTCAAGAGGTAGGTTACTAATAATTATATGTAATGTATATTAATAATAGTGAAATTTTATTTCATTTTTTGTAGCGTGTTGCTGCTGCTTTAAAAATTAGTTTAAGGACAGTTAGTCGTATTTCCGAGGGTGTGAAAAGTGATGCAAATTTAGAATCGCCCAAGAAAAAGCGGAGTTATATTAAACGTGTAACCAACACAGCGACATTGGATACAAGTGCCATTCGAGAAGTGATCTATAATATGTATCACAAAAGTAAGATCTTATTATAATAACTTATCAGAAATTTGCATTAATTTGTTAACTAAATTATAATGTCATATTACACATGGTTTCAGAAGAACAAGTTACGATACAAACTTTATGGTCTCGATTAAG